TTTCGATTAAATTGTTGATTCTTCTTTTGCCATTTCTGTCCTGCTTTTCTTCCTATTATTTCCTACAACTTTGCTCTTCTTCTTTCCTCCTTTTGTCTTTTCTTTTTTTGCTTCTTCTTTTTCTTCTCTGTTCCTCTTTCCGTCTTTCCGTCTTTCCGTCTTTCCGTCTTTCCGTCTTTCCTCTGTTATGCGTTAAGGGGTGGGAAGGAGGGAGGGACGGACTGAGAAACTGGCAAAAGTACGTTACGTAACGGTAAATATTAAATAAACTTACCTATATATGGATCCTTGAACTTTAAAGCAATAAGGTCCACCACCCGGAATATCAATTCGATTTGCAGAGAAAGAGGCAAAAGCAACAGCACTATTATAATTTCTGATATGCTTTATGAAATTTGGAGAATAGAAAAATAATGATTTCAAATCGGTATTTGTCCGAATACTCGGTAAAGAAATCAAGCCATTTTGGCAGCAGTTATTAAAATGACCATTGGACATTTCACCCTGAAAATGGCGAGCATCACAATGATGACAAATTATATTCATTGAACCGACTGAAAATTTGGTAACAAAATTTTCATCAAAGTTCTGATCATCAATTTTATACTTCCGAAATGAAGAAATGAAACTTTGATTTTCTGTACTAATAACAGAGTTAAGTTCTTGCTTCACTAAACGAACATGCGAAGAATTCTGGAAAACGCGACCACGTTTTGGAGGACGACCGCCTCGGTCATTGAAAATTTCACGCATAACAACTGTTAAATTTAAAATTAAAATTAGTAAAAATTATTATTATTTTAACAAAATCATAACTGAAAAGTTCAATTTTTAAATTAAAAAAAATAAATCAGAAGAAAAAGGATAAAATGAAAATGGAAATTAATATTAAACATATTTATACACATTGAAAAGAAACAGGGTGAAAAGTTCTGATCGGAAATGAGAAAAAAAACTTGGAGGTTATTGACTTAATGAGGAAAAATTGGCAATAGGAAAAAGATGGAACCAATCATGAAAAACCGTAAAAAAAAAAAAAAAAAAAAAGCGGGAAAAGAAAAATGTAAGTTGATGGCAGTTGAGTGTTGGAAGTAACCTCACTTAATGATGATTGTTGAATGAAAACAGCTGATAAAAAGACAGCAAACAGTAAAGTAAGATGCGTAGCAACAAAACTTTTCCGAAAAACAAAAAACAAAAAAACCCCACTTCCCCTCATCCAATTTATGAGTTTTTAGGGATTTAAAAATCGGGGACGAACCCCAGAAAATAATTTATAGTTTTCCCGAAGCATTGAGAACAACACCTTTCAAATGAACCAACGCCCCTCGCAATTAGTGCAGTGGTTGATTCACAATTTTATTCTATTTTTCAAATTAGATATTAAGATATGTATAAAATCTGCTTTTAAAATTCATTAGAGAGGAGGCAATTTTTGGACACTTGTTTTATGTTAAATCTACGTAAAAAGACCGTAATTTTCCTAAGAGTAAGTATTTCAACAATTTTCCGCCCTTTAATTCCACTTTATTCTCCTTTATTCCGCTTTTCGTAGTCTTACAAAAGAGTATGTGCAAAAAGCATGATATTTCTTCTACAAAGTTTCGTAGTTTTAAAAGTTATCTTTCTGGAATCTACAATTTTTCAATTTTCTTTTTCTTTTTGAGCAGTCGTCCCTATCGGGGGTTGTTGTATTTTACTCTCCGAAAATTCAATAATGAAAAATAAAATTGTTCTTTTTACGTGTATACACTGGAATAATTGAATTTTTCAGCAAATTTTTAATATCAACGTTGTTGGCAATGAGTTTGCTCTCTCCCTTATAAATCGCAAAGCTGTGTCTTGCACACGTGCGAAAAAATCATGACAAATACCACGAACTCAGCTCATTAGGCACTCTCAGATGAAGCAATACAATTTTTGTGTGCAAATTCTCCATCGTTGAACCTCTTTCTCCCTCCCCTTCCATGAGATAGTTCATGAAACTCGCACTTTGATTCACACAAAAATCGTGTACCAAATAGCCTCGCTGAGCCAATATGTAGTAAGGATATTAAAAGTGGCAGCGAGGACTAAGCGGATATTACTTCGTCACACCATGGGTGCCAACCTCTCTGGGAAAATGAGATTTTCGCATTTGAAACGTGATGTGTGCTACATTCCGATTTCGAGCCGTGGCAACACTGCGGTGGGAAGCTGCCGAAAATCGGCTGAGTTCCACGTCCGGATTTATTAAATAAGTTTCTCTTCCTCTCACCGCCACCGTCACATATCAGGGATGATATTTGGTAGAGCTGGGAGGGTAAGTGGAGGACACGCTGCTCGTTTGTCCGACTCGTTGGCAAAGATTTGTCGAGTGTTATATTGAGTGTTACCCTTTCCGAGTCGTCCAGGCTGCCGCGTTGGTCACGAACTTCTGGGAAAGCAGGAGAATATCTGGTACATAACGAGAATCACATCCTGGAATTTTTGAATAGTTCCGTCAGTTCGAAAAATTGAGTCAATGAGGTTGGCAGGGTGGGTTTTGCGGGGTCAAATCCCCCAAAAGGCACGTGTCCCTCCAGAACAGTTGGACGGTATTTTGCAATACGGAACTACAATTTTAGCTTATTGTAGAAACAACATATGTGCCATCAATTTCCTTATGTAGATAGGAGTTTTTATATACAAGCCATGAATTACAGTTCCTTATTGCAAAATGCTGTCTAGTTATGACCGCCCATTATCATCAAAAGAGCTCTTAGCCCCCTTGCCGCCTTTCCCCACAAAAAATCTCTCACTACGCTTATGCTTCGGTCAAATCAAAATTACTTGAAATTTGATCATGATATAGAACTCCAGTGGCAAGTAAAAAAAAATGTGTTCTAGTCTCAAAGGCTCCAACTTATTTACGTTCATCATACTACAGTTCAATTTAAAAAAAAAAAATCAATACGTACGCTTTTCTCTTTTCATTGGCCAGACTGGAAAGAGGGGGCACTTCCGGTATGATCACTATTACTGAGGGGCCATTGGTACGCAAATATCGTAAACATTTATTGTGAAATCGGACGGCGAAAAAGATGAAAAAGTAAAAAATGCATTGATAAAGAAATTAATCGATGTTAAGAAAGGACCGGGCGATGTTTGACGTATTTGTAACAGCTTCTACTTAGGCATTCAATGTTATTATTTTCTTTTTTGACATCATTTATGAGTTTAATCTTTCTTCTGTTGATGGCAGGTGCCAGTATTCACACAAGCAGAGGTTTTGGAGGGTACCGACCGCCATCGGGATACGACGCTCTCTCTAGTCTCAGGTTTCTCGGCCCTACCATCCAGATAGCAGCTCCTCTGACATGCCTTTGGCTCACCGCTTTTTCTATGAATATATTACTCTTAGTGCAATCTATTCTAACAGTCAAACAGCCCAAGTAAGTGCTCAGATTCTTCCTCGTGTGTAATGTTTCCTGTGAGAATCAATCTTATTGTAAGTGAGGGAAAGAAAATTACCTTTTACAATGAACCAAGCCCGGAAAATATTCCCCTGAAAGAGTAAATGCGAAACTTATGTCTCATTGAATCTTCGTCGACATCAATGTTGATCCAAGCACCTGATTTCTAGAAACTCCAGTATTAAGGTGGCGTGATAATATTGAGAAATTTCGAGATAGATCATTCTTCCCCGTCGAAATCCATAAATATCACCGTTAGTCGATCACTGCTGACTGAATCTGAATATGTCTTAAAATATTTGATCACTCACTCCAAATCATCGTCCTAAATTCCATGCTAACTCAAAAAAGCTCGAGATGATCCGTATAAATTGGACGTATTTCTATCAAACGGAACTATGTGCATTCAGACATGAGCCCTGAGACCCATAAGAATATGTGCATAACAGGGCTCACGTCATAATGCACATAGTTCCGTTTGATAGAAATACATCCAATTCGAAACAACCGCAAATTAAAACGTTTCCTCAGACTCGGTGCAATCGCAGCTTACTTCACGAAGGAGATGGACAGTGTAGCGCCTTCAAAATCGAATGTATGCAATTAGGCCAATCGCTGAGTTAATATAGTTGCTTCCAGCAATGAGTTACACTCGCATCACATGACAGTTCTCCTTCGACACAAATTTCGAATATAAACGAACGTCCTCGCTAATGGATAGTATTTCAGAAAGTATTTACAAAGTTTCAGTTTTCTTGGTGCACCACGGCGCAAAGTCTAATCGGACGTATTTCTACCAAACAGACCTATGTGGAGGTGAGAAATATGGGGTGTGCTCGTGGAAGCTGCATAAGAAGCAATGTAAAAGTGGGCGTGATTCCTTTTGAAGAATGGGCCTGTTGCAAACTTTTGCTAGAGCAAAACTAAGAGTTGTTTCCTGCAGATAATGCCTCAAAAATCACGATGAGCGCATCGGCAAAGTCTGAAATGCACTCATAACTTCACAATCTGCGTAAGATTTTTGCGGTTTTTTGAGCTTCCCGCTTCGAAAACGATACTACGGTACAGGTGAACATTTTGTTAGAGGAGTCGTTCCATTGGCGACAATACTCATCATGGCCGACGCCAGTCCGCCAAAACACGTGTGATGGGACGAGATAACACCTGAACAGGATTAAACCATTTAACAATCGGCGTGTTTACGTTCATATTTTCCTCGCCCGCCTTAATTGACCTTGAACTCTCCTCGAATTACGCGAGGAACTGCGCAAGCGTCGGCCATGATGAATATTGCCGACGATGGAGCGACTCCTCTAACAAAATGTT